CAGCCTCCCCGACTGGCAGGCCTGGTCCACATTCTTTGACACAAAAGGGGAAGGCAAAGGGCATCAGGGGTGTGTACACAGACGTGTGTGTTCCTATGCACACATACACGTGTGTACACCAAAGCACAGACACGCAGGCACGTCTGCGTGTGGGCCCCCAGGGTCAGTGAGCTCCGGCTCATTCAGCCTCCATCAGCACATGGTTTTACCCCACCTTGAATGTGCTCTTCTGAAGTCATAAAATTCAGAAGAAAAAAAAGGGAGTCATAATGGGAAGGGAAGAAGACCTGTATAATCTGTCACGTGCTGAAGGATGCCAGCTTTTGAAAACAAAAATAAAGCCTAGCTTCAAAATCATCTCTGTCTCCCTCTCTCCTTCCATCTCATGCACACCTGTAATTCCAGCACTCGGGAGGCTGAGGCAGGAGGATCACAACTTCCAGACCAGCCTGGGCCATACAGTGAGTTCAAAGCCAGCCTGAACTGCACAGCAAGATTGTCTCAAAACACAAAACCAAGCAATCGGGGACCGGGATTTAGCTCAGCGGTTCGGTGGCCTGCCTTGCAAGCGCAAGGACCCGAGTTCAATCCCCGGTACCAAAAAAAAAAACCCAAGCAATCAAAAGTAGCACTACGAAACGGTGACCCCTCCTGCGGCCATGATACGACCCCAGTGTTCTCAACCCCATGATGCCCCATGAAATTGACCTGGCACCTCCGGGGCCCTGGGGACCCCTGGCGCCAGAGAGGAGACAGCATGATGGGAACGCACCCTGCCAGGACCCCACACCCCTCCCCAGAGGAAGTTGCAGAACATGAAAGGCTTTCTCTTGGAGTAAACCAATATTCGCGGTTCATCATTCTGGTGAGAGCTGAGTCCTCCAGTGTGTTTCCTAACTGCCATCAGTGAAGCTGTTCTGTGATGAGAATGTTCTGGCAGGTCTGAAATGCCCTCGAACAGCTCGCTTTTAACTGGCTGATGTGATGTGAATTTTATCTCCATTCCAAAAAAAAAAAAGGAACAGCTATCTTGGAATAACTTGGAAGCTGACACACTTCAGAAATGCTAGGCTTTTGTCATGAAATGTTTCCTCGCTTATTTTTTTACTGATACTGAAAACTTTAGATAAGAAACAAAAGAATTACGTATTCCTTAAACTTAGTGATTTCCTCTATTTTGGGTCTTGCAGGTGGGATTTGGGGTTGTTTACAGACTCTGCCCCCAGCACTCATATCCTGGGTAAGGTGTAGCCACAAGGGAGGACCCAGAAGTGTGGTGAAGGTTTAAAATAGCTTTAAAAATTATTACAGTAAAAGACACCCTGCCCAACACTCTCCTCACATCTGGCACACTCCTCCCCTCGTCCTCGCCACTTCCTGCAGCAGCTCTGGAGCACTCTTTCCTGAGGGTCTGTAGTTGTGCTGTCCTGGCTGCCTCCATGTCCTGAATGGATTCAAACGTTTCCTTTCACGTCATTTTAACTTTGGGGAAGAGCTTAGAGCCACATGGTGCCAGACCCTGAGAGGAAGGTGGTGAGGACAGTGACGTGATCGCCACTCCGAGAGGACGTCGCCCGGTGTTGCTGTCCATGCTGAGGCTCCCTGAGCCCGGCTCCCACTGTCCACCCCAGAGCCCGGCGGGTGGGTCATGCCCAGCTGCACAGGGGCGGTGGGGAGGCCCAAGCAACACCCACACTCAGCCACAGCAAGTGTCAGGGCCCAGACGGGGCCGTGGGCGGGCGTGTGACTGCTGCTGCTCTTCCTGCCGAACTAGCTCGTGACTTCACAGCAAAAAGAGGTGCGACTGCTTCTGCTCTGCCGGGAGCTCGAGGCCAGACTGAGCTACACAGTGAGAAAAACAAGATTCTACTGTTCTGGGTGATAGAGAGGCTCCGGTCCAGGGGAGGGGACAGCCAGCAACATCTGTCAATGTCGTGCTATAAACACTGTTGCCTCAGCTGTGCTCCAGCTCCCAGGTGACTGTGCCTCCTTCCCTCCCCAGTGGTGGCCCAGGTACAAGCAGGGCCAGCACCTGTCCCCTTTCCTCTGAGTCTCCAGGATTCAAAACCACATCTCTCATCTACTGAGCTATTAATAAACTGGGAGTAGGCTTTAATTTGCTTTCTGTTTGCTCCATCTGTTTACTTGAAGGCCGCATGCTTCTGGGACGGTGGGGTACAGGGTGCCCACGGAGGGGATCCCGGGCCCTGAAGCCTGGTGAAGGTGTTGGCTGCTCTCAGGGCCACCTGCGCAGGACCCAGTGCCCCAAGCCCTACGACGTCCTTGGCCCGGACCTTCCACACCCATCCCGGGGGAGCCAGGTACAAGCAGGAATCCTGTGTGCCACCCCACTTGTGGAGTGGAGTCCCTGGGCATCCTAGGCGTCCCCTCCATGCATCTGCAAATTCCATCTAAACCTGCTAGGCCCTCTGCCACCCCATCACCTGACCCCAGGCCAGAATCCTGAGTCTCTGGCCCACATCCGGAGCTCAGCGGGGCAGTTCTTCATCCTGCAGTGACCCTGATCATGCCTGTCCTCATTGCCAGGAGCAAGAACTGGCTCTGTTTCACCTGCACACTTGTCCTGCTGGTTGAAGCGGCCTCACACAGCCACGCAGGCTTCTGCTGCGGCCTCAGTGAGTTCCGTTCCACACACACTAGGACATGGAGAGGATCTCAGGTCAGCAGTGAGTGCTATGCTGGCCACACAGGGACTGACGGTGACAGAGGCAAATCCAAGCAGTCACCTGGATCCACTCTGCAGAGGCCGCCAACAGGCCCAGCCAAACCCCACTCTGACCCAACTCACACTCCATCTCCTCAGAAACCATGCCGGTCCACACTGCTGTAGTGGCCACGCGGGGCTTCTGAACACAACAGACACGGGGTAGGGAGCCCTGCCTCCAGGGAAGCTCCTCGGGGTGCCTTCCGGGCCACATTCGAGGGGGGAGCTCGGAACAGATTCCGCGATCCCAGATCAGGCAGGTCAGGGAGAGTCCCAGCACCTCAGCACGGCAGCTCTAGGGGTGAGGATTCACCTGGTCCTTCTTTGGAGCTTCTTTGCACACAGCAAACCTTGTTCACATCTCACAGGCTCCTGGTGACCCAGGCCTGCAGGGACCCCCGCCACTGCTTGCTTTACAATCCTGCAGAAAGGCGCCTTCCTGCACCTCTGTTCTCCATGGGGCATTTGCTAATCCTCAATGTGCTTAAATTTGCAGGGATCATGCCTCACACAGGCTTGCAGAGGGCCCGGCCACCTTGCTCCAAGGCCCCAGAAGCTAATGACAAAAATGCTGCACCAGTCAATTTTCCTTCTATTATTTCCTTCCGGTTAATATGACAGATGTGAAGTTTCAAATGTTGTCCCAGCCTCGCGCCCTACAATAAATTCTGCTGGGATCCCTCTTCGTGCTGTGGAGTTCTACTGCTTATATCCATGAGTGAGTCCCGGGTTTGTCCCCGTGGAGCACTGGTCTGTGACTTTCTGCTTTTCTTGGAGTGCAGGGACAGAGCCCATTGCTCACAAGTGCTTGGGGTGTGTGTTCTCTGTCAGGCCCCAGGGTCCTCTACCTCCGGGCATCTGTGTGTGTTTTTGGTATCAGGGTGATTGATATCAGCTTCCTAATGTGAATTAAGATGTACTCCCTTCCATTTGTGGGAGGGATTGTGTCACAATTGTTTTAATTCCTTAAGCGTTTGGTGGGATTTGCCAGGGGAACCAGCTGGAACTGGAGATCCAGGGACTCGTCAATGGCAACGCTGGGTCCCTGGACCCAAAGCCCTGGCACTCCATCGCCTGACCCCCGAGTGTTCTCATACTTGTTTCACACACATCCAGTGTCTTTTAGCTATACTTTCTGGAAGAGACAGGGAAGAGTAAGCCTAAGAAATAAGGAAAAGGAAGGCTAATCCACCCTGCAGGAAGCCAGTCTTCTCCCGAGGGCTGTGCCGGGGAGTTGTCTCCTGGCTCTTGGCAGTGCTGGGACGGCGCCCACCCGGGGCATGCTAGGCAGGAGGGCTCCCCGTGAGCCATGCCGCTTGTCACACGCACACAGCGGGCGACGTGCATCCGTGACGATGGCCCCACAGGCCTACGCTGACCTCAGTCACTGCGCACACACGCGATGATGTTTGCACAGTACCACACCTCAGACACACTTCTCACACGAGATCCCGCCACGGATAACGGACACGCTGAAAGGCACACAAGTGGCCATGCAGCGGTGAGGCACCACGAGTACAGGGTAGAGATCCACACTCCTCCTCCACAGCAAACACTCAGCCACCTCAGAGAGAAAGGCATGGGCGACGTTCCGCACATCTTTCCTTATCTTAAATTTCAGCCCGGCCCAAGGTCAGGCGCTAAGAGGAGAAGCACTGGCTCCCCTAAAAAGACAAAGGCTAGTTCAAGAGCGAGGCTGGCCCTTCTTTGCATGGTCCTGAGACTTCCCAGGAAATGCACCTAACAGCCACCAATGGGGCCCCTCAGGTGCCCTCACCCGGACAGCCAAGTGGCCGTGGGAGAACCAGAAGTACAGAGAACTGAGATTTTGAAAACATACGGGGATTCAGGCGAAGCCCTCTCTCCTCCTGCCTGGGCATGGCCTCACCCACAGCACGGGGAGGTGTTCTGGCCCCAGGGGTGGTGACGCAGGGACAAAAACCAAGCCCTGCCGGGCAGGGGCAGCTGGGGCATAGGGCAGAAAACTCATTCTCTGCCAGGACTTGCTCCACGCTACCTGCCTGGCACTGACGCCCGGGAGACGAGGCACCTATGATAAGGGACGCCGGATGCAGCTCCAAGTCTGGGGTCCCCACCCTATCACAGTGCATTCACCGCCTCGGTCCAGCATCTTCCCACAGACCCATCCCTGCTGGGACTCTGGAGACACAGGCTGAAGGGAAATCTGTCTGCAGAAGAGCATGGCTTTGTGGGACTGGCAGCCAGCAAGTGGAGACCACACTGCCTCATGCGAGCCACGACGACCCTTTCTTACCTCGGAGGACTCTGGGCACGCCAGCCGGGCTGCTCAGCGAGGCCTCGGGCAGGCTGAACGCAGGGTGGTAGGGCGGTGTCTTCACTGGAAAAGAGTGAAGCAGGGCTGTCACTTTCCTCCTTGCAGTGGCAAGTGTACACGGCTAGTTGTCTGTGTGTGTGTGTGTGTGTGTGTGTGTGTGTGTGTGTGTGTCTCAGCCCCCAAATGGGACTGAACTCTGTGCCTCCCACAAAGCTACATCGCAAGCCCTTTTTTATCTTTTAGTTTGAGCCAGGGTCTTGCTAAGTCACTAAGCTCCCTAGGCTGAGCCCCAGCTTGGGAGCCTCCTGCCTCAGCCTCCTGGAGTGCTGGGATGACATGCATGCTCACCATGCCCAAGCGCAGTTAGAACTCTTTCTTACCAAACGGAGTCTCTGGAGACACAGGAAATGCTGGTGTCGAACACACAGGCTCCTTGCTGTTCAGCATCCTGCCACCAATCACGTGGAGGTCTGAGGGATATGCAGTGATCACCGTCTGAAATCAGCACGGGAGGATGGAAGAAGGGGAGTCAGGGGCCATTCCCCCACACAGCTGCATCCCAGGATGCTCCGGGGAGCTGGGACCTCATCTGGAAGTGGGGACAACCACTCCCCATGCGTCCAGCAGTGAACTGCAAAGAGCTGCTGGAGGCAGCTGATGGCTCCAGGCGGCTCACAGAGAGTGTGAAAGCTGCGGTTTGCTCACACATACGGAGATCACATGAGTCACACGCACAGCACAGAAATACTGCACCCCAAACACGGGCACACCCCAAACACGGGTGGTGGCTTTGTTTACTGGGAGTTACAGCCCCAAGGGGCCACCCTTCCCATCCAGGCTCCAACTTCTCCTGATCAACAATCAACAAAGCCTGTATTTGCAGAGACGGGAGGGGAGGGAAGTAGAAAGGACAGAGATGTGGTGTGTGTGAGTGCGTGCGTGTGTGCGCATGTGCAACAGTTCCCTGTGAAGACTGTGTACGAATAAACAAAGGGGAAACAAAGCCCACAAGTTGAACCCTTGGGGTACCCAGACCTGTCCACCCCCACTCCGATGAAAAGCCTGGGCCTCTGCCTGAAGTGCCAGGGGCCCCGTCTGCAGCCTCCCCGGCCGGCTGTCCCCAGGCCTCATGTGACCCTGCTTGCAGGACGCTGCGTGTCCTCCCTAGGCTGCTCCCCTTCTGGACCTGCTCCGGCTCCACCTCTCACAGCCCCCCCGCGGCTCCACAATGCACGCACCTCGTTGGTGTCCCCTGAAGAGGGGAAAGGCGCCAGGCCAGGGCCTAATTCCACGCCAGCCGTCGCCCAGGCACACTTGGAGAAGGACAGCTGGGCCCCGGCATCGTTATCGTACTGTCCCAGGCTCATCTTCCGGAGCCTTCCGCCTAGGGGCTCGTCGCTGGAGGGGTCTGTGTGAGAGACAGGTGCGGGCTGCAGGGCGCTGGGACCCTGCACTAAAACCCCACTGTGAGTGGGGTGGGTGGGTTGGTGAATACTGGCAATTCCACTCCTCTGGGAGGCTAAGGCAGGCAGATCCCAAGTTGGAACCCAGGTTAGTGAGACCTCATCTCTAAATAAAAAATGTTAAAAGAGCTGGGTCCAAAGCCTGGTAACACACACACACACACACACACACACCCACACACACACACACCCCTAGCATGGAATTTCTCCAAGGCAGGTTGCATTTCATCACTAGTGGCAGAGGGTGGCCCGCATGGCCAGCTTAAACCCTAACAGTGAGGATCTGGAGGGCAGAACCCTGAATCCAAGCGGCGGTGATAAACATTTAGTGTTCCGAACTGTCCTGAAAGTGTAGGTATTTATTCCTGACCCCAACACTATGGTCCCTGCTCATGTCAGGAGTCCTGACTGGCATCGTTTACTTCCTAAAAGATCTCTTTTAACTGGGAAGCTGGGGAGCCCTGCTGCGGGCTATAAGGTGATAATGCTTCAAATTGGGATGTACTCTGGGAGGCTGAAGCAGGAGGATCTTGAGTTCCGGTCCAGCCAGGGCAACTCAGCAGCTTAGTGAGACCCCGACTCAAAATTAAAAACAGAAGTAGTGAGACCCTGTCTCAAAAAAAACAAACAAACAAACAAAAGAGTAAAACAAAATAAAATTAATAAAAATAGAAGAGGGCTGGGATGCAGTCCAGTTCGAAGAGCCCGGGTTCAATCCCCAGGACCACAAACAAAAAGGACAAAACAACACCATAGTCTGAAGATTCATGCCCAACTCCCAACTCCCCTGCAGCAGACCTTTGTGCTAAGGTCACACAGTGACCACCGGTCACCGCAGGGCACCCTGGGCTCCAGGCCCAGCCCTCTCCTCTCCTCCCCATCCGAGACCAAGATCAGAGCTGCTCTGCCAGAGGATTCCGATCCTCCTACAGGATCTGGGGAAGCTGGCTCCAGGGAGGATCCGGGCTCAGCGGCCACCAGGTGTCAAGGGTTACAGGTCTGCCAAAGGGGACGACACGGAGATTTCACCTTGTCTCTGAACCTTAGAAACAACTGTCCCATGCGCGCCTCTCTGGGCTGTGCAACCCTGAGCCCCACCCTTCCACGTCTTCACTAACAAACAATTTCTATTCTCCAACGCTGGTAGAACTGGAGGAAGGCTCCCCTGATTGTGTACCAGTGTGCACTGCTATCCACACTCACAGAGCCTGACTCTGGAGATCGCTGTGCAGGCACCGCACGCCTCTCACTGCTGGAAGTGGGTCCTGGGGACCTGGGCAGGTCCATGGCTCCAAGGCACTGGCTCCCGTCCCACCCTGCTTTCCAGGAAAGGCAACCTGAGGACAAGGCTCTGACCCCGGAAACACAGCTGGGACAAAAAGCCTGCCTCAGCCGGGACACCTGCCCTTCTGCTGTGGGTCCTGGGGACCTTGTCTGGGGACATGGGGAGACACAGCCAGCAGAGACCTGGAGAACAGTACCCAGGCGAAGAGCCCACGGGCAGGTGTGGGGTTGCACTGCGTCTGCCCGTTCATCACCGAGGGGAAGTGAGAGGGGCGCACTCGCTCCCTGAGCCAGAACTGCAGGTTCAGAAGAAACTGCAAGCACATAACACACCGAAGTCCTGTTCTGGGAGCTCATTGGGCCATGGCAGCCCTGTGTGGGTCCCTGCAGGACTGGGCCAGCTGGATGTTTTAAACTGAGCACAGGTGGATGTCAGCTCCTGGGCCCTGAGGTCAGGGGAGATAGAACAAGGAGGAGGGAAGAGGACAAGCACTGCAGCCCATGGCGACACTGTCACCAGATCCTTTCCACTGCCGGCCCACTCGCGCTGTGAACTGAAGCCTCCGTCCCATGGGAGGACAGACCACTGGCTGCCCCTACGTCCCGGGCAGACCCAAGTTCCAGTACCATCCGAACCACCCAGGGAAACCTTCCCGCCTCCTTGAGCCATGGGCAGGCCCCCGAGGAGCCTGGGGCACAGCCACATAACCATACGGTGGCTCCCACTGTCCACTGGGATCTCCAGAGGTTCCAGCAGCTGGGTGGCGCCCCTCCCTGCCCTGCCCCACCCCACCGCTTCCCCCAGAAGTCCGGACCTAGGGCAGGAGGGTCAGCATGGTGTAAGAGTCACCAGCACTTCAGGCTCCCAGGCCCCACCGCCAGGCTAATTCACTCCACCACCCTCTGCAGCAGCTCTGGAGTCCTCGTTCCTGAGCGTCTTTATAAGACATGATCCACAGGATGGTGACTGCTGCCACCCAGCGCCACCCAGGGGAAGCAGGCTGGTAAAGCCATGTGACAAGTCCTCCCCACCTTATTCACCAGCTCTGGCACCGCAGGCTTCTGGCTCCTCCCCAAAGTCACAGTGACCATGAAAGGGGAATGTTCTGAATCGATTCAGGACATGAGGCAGCCAGGACAGCACAGCTGACAGTACTCAGGAGAGAGGACTCCAGAGCTGCCGCTGTACTGAGCAGCAGAGGGAGGGTATGTTCTCAGGGGTGAACCACAATGCGTCTTCCACATGCCTGTCTGTGGCCCTGTCTGTGACCACACCCCGAGGCCGGCCGTGTGGCTTCAGGGCCCCGGCCGCGGCCACGATGAATGCTAACCAGGCAGGGCAACCAGAGCTGGCAAGGCCGATGGAAAGGAGTAAAATATTCTGACAACACGAAGCCCTCGGAGGCTGGAGAAACAGAGGCGGCTCTGCCACCCGTGGAGCCATGTTCACAGGCTGTCCCCCCAGGTACCCATGGGTTGCATCTCCCCGCCCAGAGGCTGTGTGTGGCTCAGGGAACCAGGGAGTCCGGGGAGAGGCGAGGACAGCAGCCCCACTTGGAGGGAACCAGTGTCGCCCAGCAAACTCCAAACCTCTCCTTTGCAAGTGTACAACATTGTGCACCGGGCGGGTCAGCTTGGTCCTGGGGGAGAGGGCGCCCCGCTGGCCTGGGGCGAACTCCCCTCAGGGTGCCCCCAGCAGAGCTACTCGGGACCTGCGTGGGGCCACGTGCACCGTCCCCTGCGCCTGTCCCTCCTTCCTCGAATGACTACCCAGCACGTGCCACATGCCAGGAGACAGGCGAGAGTCACAGTGCTGTCCCGAGAGGTTTTCTAGTTGGTGGAAGAAGGGGTGGTAGCAGATGAGGGCACTGATATGGGTGCGGGGTCAAATGGGCCAGGGCTCAGCCACAAGTCCTGGAAGGATGGAGGTGTGTGGGGCAGCAAAGGTGCTCAGAGCAGCAACTCTTACAGCGTTATCACCACCCTCGCCACCATCACTGTCACCATCTGTATCGGTCAGCTTCCCATCACTGTAGCGAACACCTGAGATAGCCAACTTCTGAAGAGAAGAGATTTCTTTAGGCTCACAGTTTTAGAGGTTTCGGGCCCTGACCAGTTGGCCCTGTTGCTCTTCTGATTCAGCAACTGGAAGCTCATTTTAGTGACAGGGAATGGCACAGCAAGACATTCCCACCATGCCCACAGGACAACAGAGAGAGAAGACTGGACAGGGATCCCAATGTGAGCATCCCATCTCACAGCTCCAATGACTGACTGACTTCCCCCAGTCCCCACCTCTTAGAGGTTCCACTACCTTCCAATGGCACCTGCCTGACAAGCAAGCCGCGTGGACTTTTGGCAAGGGGACTCTTGGATCCAAACTAGTGGAATCGTCACCACCTTCATCCCAAGTACTCATCACCTTCCTCACTGTCACCACATCACCGCCGTCACCACTGCCAAGAGAACATCTGCATCACCAGGTCTACGACCACTCACTGAGTCCCCACCACCATCATCAGAGTCACTACCACATGCCTATCACCACCACTGGGGCCATCAGCACCATCACCACCGTTGGGCTCGTCACCGTCTGCACCATGCTCACCCTCCTCATCAGTCACCAGGACCCCACCATCGCAGCTCCATCATCCCCACCGCTGCAGCAGCAGCCCCAGCGGCAGTGCCTTGTTACTCTGCTAGCCCGAAACATCTCCGGAGAGGCTCGGCCCTGGACTTCCATCTCAGACCCGGGGTGACGTGCTGCTGCCCTCAGAGCGGATGAGACATAAACATGCACAGCAGTCCTCGGGGGAGGCTGGGCAGCACAATTCCCGCCTCCCTCCCACAGTCGGGGCCTTTCCTGTATTCAGGACACTATTTGCAGAGACAGATTTGACTGACTTCAGGGTGCTGAGGACAAGCCTTCGTCTAGAGCCAGAATGCAGACAGCTGAGCAGCAGGCAGGGGAAGGTGGGGAGGAGGGTCTCACAGACCAGACACAGCACTCGGAACCGCACGAGACTCAGGTGGGCCGGCCAGGTCCTGCGGTGCTGTCAACAGGACTTTGTCTCAGGGACCTGGCAGGACCCACGCAGTGGTGATGTAATGTCCCGGGTCTGGAGCTGAGCCACGCAGGCAGGACCCCAGCTCTGCAGCCCTCATCTCCCCAGAGACAGACAGGACCCACATGGAGCTGGGAGATCTGTGTAGTACAGGCTTTTCAGCGCCCCACCCTCTGAAGATGTTCTAGGGACTCAAACCAGCTGCTTCACCACCACACTTCTACAGGCTTTCCCGCTAGTGTCTCGGGACTTCTGTTTTCAGTTGCTCACCGACCTAGTCTTTTCTCATTGAGACGTAAATACAGATACTGAAACGTAAACTTTAAAATCTCTCCCTGCTGGGGTAGAGCATCCCTGCCCAGCTGCCATGGGTTAAGGATGGAAAGCTTCTGATGATTTCTAGAGAAACTCAGTGTCCCAGGGGTGGCGTCACCCACAGGCGCCTGCCAACCTGTCCTTCTTATATTAACACAGTTCCTGTCTCGGGGCTCACCCCATGGTCCTGCTGGGTGCGTACCTACATCAAGAAGCTCATCCTGGAAGACGGCACCAGCAGGAGGAAGGACCCAGCTGGCTCTGACGCATCCCCAGCACCAATGTCCTGCTACTATCGCTGTTCTACAAGGGGTTCCTACAAGAAGGTCCCTGTCAAACTTCAAGGTCTCAGAAGAGTTCGCTCACTCCTTACTCATCTGCTACCCCTGTAAGTCTAAAGCTAAGAAAAGAATTGACAAATGGCCCAAAGTATCTGTTGAACGTAAACATACTAATAAATACTTAAAATTTCTGCAACCTCTGACCAAAGGCGTACTACTAGATTTTGCTAGTTGTGGTTGAAATAGGAAAGATCTTTATTTTCAAAGTCATCGTGACTCCATAATAAAACTAAAAAGACCTGCGATTAAAATCTCAGTTACTACAGTGATGAGTTTATCAAGTAATTTCAAAGTGGGAACGTGACGGTGGGAAACACGAGGTGATGTTCTGATATCCCAGACTTTACAGCACCAACAAGGGTTCCTTCACAACTGAATTCTGTCCGCTGGACAGCATGGTAACCAACCAGGGCCACGGCATGAAAACCTGGTCCACAAATCCTCCTTTTCCCCAGTGACACTGAGATGCTTGCAGACCTCTCTAATCTCAGGAGAGACTCCCATCCCGGAGATGACAGTTCTGATTTTAATTCCTCCAAGCAATTTCTTTTAAGAAGTTATGTTGAGGCAAGCACAAAGTTTTCTTCCCATGTGAAGCTTTTTCTTAAACCCAGAATTTTCTGAATAGAATGGGTTAAGTGAGCTAATACATGTTTTAACCTGGGCTGAGTGCCTGCTGACTACCACTCTGCTGGTGGGTGAGCTTCTGTTACACGGCTGAATTGCAGTCTGAGAATCTACTCCAGGTGGACACCACCAGCTGCTTCTCTCTCCCAGGTGTCTGACATACATGCCTGAGGTGGTGGGGCGTGGCCATGAAGGAGCCCCTTTAATGGTGGGGGTTATCTGGGTTATCATGGAACACACTGCTGGTTGTATCTGGGAGGATTGGTGGAGTCACAGCCTTGAGGTCTACATCTAGTCCCTCTCCCCTTCCTGTCTAGTCCTGTTCCCCTGCTCTGCTTCCTGGCCACCATGAACTAAGCATCCTTGATCCTTTACACCCTCCCACCATGATGTTCCTTCCTCAGAGCCAGCCGACCAGGGACTGAATCCCCTGATACTGTGAGCCACATTAAACTCCTTAAGCTGTGGATGTTGGTTGTCATGTCCAGCAATGGGAATGCTGCCTGACACATCAGGGAAGCTGCTGTTTACCCGCTAATGACCCCAGTACTCGACAGGTGACCCAGCCTGTCATCTCCTCCCCACAAATTCTCCATCACCAGTCCCTGACACAGGGCTTCCTTTTCACAGATGGCATGAGCAGAAATTAAGAGAAACTCAGTCCTTTAACCCTGCTTGGTCCCTGGGGCCCTCTGCCTGCTGAGTCCCATCCTAGGCCCAGGTGACCAGTGCCAGCTCTCCAGGACCTCCGGGCCTTTGTGCCTGCTGACCCCAGAAGCATATGCCAATGACTGATCCCAGCATGGAACGAAAAAGCCCTGCTCTGGCCCTGCCTCCCTGCAGCCTGCCAGCCCCTCCTGCTCCAGGGGTACACAGATGGCCCCCACACCTTGCCCATGGCTGGCAGCCTTGGTTATCAAACTTGAGATCCTGCTGCCTCAGCCTCCCAAAGAGCAAGGATCAGAAGCTCGCGCCACCCTCTCACACAGGTCAGCACCCTGTGGACACGGCTCACCTGGATGCCTGGAGGGGCTCCTGCTGGGGCTCTCCACTGGGCCGGGCAGCTTGCCGCTGGCCCGAAGGCCTCCTCCCGTGCTGTCAGGCCCCGCGGAGCTGTTGGCTCGGCCTCCCAGGGAGCTCATGTGGGTGGGGATGGGCTCGAAGGTGGGGTCCAGCTCCAGGATGAGCCTGTTGAGCTGCTCGATGGACTGGTCGATGTCCAGCGTGGGAGAGCCAGGGGCGGGGCCAGCACTGGGCTCTTGGTTGGCTCCGTTCAGCGCCTTCTCACCCAGGAGCCTGGGCTGGAAGGCTCTGCCTGGGCAGGGCTGTGGGGCTTCTGCCCC